TTGCCTTTTTCTAGTAACTCGTTTTGTGGTGCTGATGCTCTCGTGTGGGGAGTGGAGATGTATGTGTGTGTCACGGGCTCCGCTACACAGTTTTCCTACAGTCACCTCTCGTTTCAGGCCAGGTAGCAATAGGGGTGCGCCCTCGCTTACACGTACAGGCGGTTACTATTATTCTGGGGAATGATCTTGCAAATGGAAAGATTTTCCCAATCTCCAAGGTAATTGAAAACCCCATCGATGATTTGGTTTTCGTTTCTGAATCTGCTGCTGACAGTCTGCCCTCTGTTTTCCCTGCCTGTGTCGTCACATGTGTGTATAAGCGCAGATACAGTGATGTTGATTTGTCTGACTCTTTCCTGTGTTCTGAAGATGATCCTGTGAAAGCTGAGCCACCTGTGGAAAAAGAAGAAAAATGTGTGTCTGATAGCTTGCTACCTGCTACACCTGACCTGTCTATTGAGGTAAGTAAAGCAGATTTTGTCCATGTGCAACAGAATGATCCAACTCTGGCCAAATGTTTACTTGCTGTAAATTCCAACGAGCAAACCCCCATGTTTACAGCATTGGCAACAACGTGTTAATGCGTAAATGGCACCCTCCCTCATCAAGTGATCTTGGGTGGAATGTATTTCAACAGGTAGTTGTATCACAAAGGTTCCGACCCCAAGTAATCAGTCTTGCACATGACAGTTTCTCTGGACATTTAGGAATTAGAAAAACCATCGTATTCTGCATCACTTTTTGTGGCCAGGGTTTAAAAACGGATGTAACTAGGTACTGCCGCTCCTTTCACCTTTATCAGGTCAGTGTAAAACCAACCAAGTTATTCCTCCCGCTCCATTGCATCTGATCCCGGCTTTACGGGAACCATTTCAGCATATACTCATTGATTGTGTAGGACCGCTTCCCAAAAACAAAGTCAGGACGTCAGTATATTTTAACTTTGATGTGTGCCGCCACACACTTCCCCGAGGCTATTCCGTTCCTCACTGTTAAAGTCAAAGCTGTTGTCAGAGTGCAAGTGAACTTTTTCTCCGCTTTCGGTTTGCCAAAATCTGTTCAAACGGACCGAGGGTCAAACTTCATATCCAAGATTTTCACTCAGCTCTTGAAATCGCTTGGCATAAAGCATTAAAAATCCAGTGTGTATCATCCCGAATCACAGGGCATGCTCAAGCGTTTCCATTAAAACATTAAAAGCTATGATGAGAAAGTTCTGCCTCGAGTCAGGAAGAGAGTGGGATGAGGGTCTGCCTCTTCTCCTTCTATTGGTGAGAGAGCGTGCGCAGGAGTCCACAGGTTTCAGTCCCGCAGATCTGGTGTTTGAACACAAAGTGCGTGTCCCCGCGGCTGCTCAAAGAGATCTTCTCTCCAGACAAAGTTCTGTGACACAGATTCTGTTATAGGCACCCCAGACTGTAAGGCAAGGCAAGTTTATTTGTATAGCACAATTCAACAACAAGGTGATTCAAAGTGCTTTACAGAGACTGTAGAAGAAAGCGTCATGTGGCTTCATCTCGTCAACCTGATGAAGCCTTATTTTTTTCGCGAGGCAGGTGTAAACCCCTCTTCGTCCCCTGCTGCACCATCAGCCTTGCCTGTAGTTGTGTCAGCGGCCCCATCTGAGTATAATCCAGAAAGTGATGGCTTAGTTTTCATTTGTGCTAAGGGTTGCTCCCGACTCAGAAACTCTGAAATATTAGTGAATTTAAAATACCACCTAAAACATTTGGATGACGCTGCCCAGAATGATTTGTGCTCTCTGATCAAAAATCACCCATCCCTGATTGCTGACACTCCATCTCGCACCACTGTCATGAACATGACGTAGATGTAGGTGACCATCCTCCAAACAAACAACACACTTATCATGTGAACCCTACTATTAAATCTTTTTCTTTTTATTCTTTTACTGGACAGAGAGAACACGACTCAGTTGTCAAAGTATTTATAATTATTTTATTCAATCATTACTTTCTGGAAAGGGATGTGCACCAGGCTAAACCCTCTGCAGATCTAAAACATTACAAGCATATCACCTATGTTATAATCCGCTTGCTCCTCCCCTACTAAACCATCCCTTGATCTATTTCAATACTATATGTCTACCCTATAGCTGCAAAACTGTCTGCATCCTCGCTCCTCATGTTATTTTAGTAACCCTACTTGATCTGTTTGTTTGCGTTGCTTAGTTCCGCTTTTCTGTACTTCCTGTTCTTCACAGTTTCCTGTTTTTGCACAGTATTTCAGTCTGGCTAAGCAATTGGTTTGTGAGTCAAAGCTGGCCTGTTATTAAAATACATAAACAAAATAATCAAATAAGCACTAAGAAAACATATATGTTCCTCAACATCTACCAAATGCGCAGTTTTTAGCAAGAAGTTTCCTACTTGCTAAAAATGGTCTAGCTGTCCCGAGTTCTAGTACATGGAGTGCCTTCTCATGCTGAAGAAAGACAAAACCCCATGTTTTTGTACAGATTTTCAAAAAGTAAACGGTGTGACCAAACCGGACTCCTATCCTCTCCCCCGAATGGAAGATTGTGTTGATAGGGTTTGCTCTGCAAAGTTTGTCACTTGATTTATTAAAGGGTTATTGGCAAGTTCCCCTCACTCCACATGCATCAGTTCCACCTTCGTCACTCCCAATCACTTTCTCCAATATATATCGTCATGCCATTTGCCATTCGAAATGCCCCTGCCACATTCCAACACCTTCACTAGATAAGCCACAGTGGCTTATCTAGTGAAGCAGGTGGGTCCGGTGCGCCCCCTCCTGGCCAAAATTCAGGCTGTCCTACATTTCCGTGTGCCTCGCACTAGATGTGAGATTCGCCGGGACCTTGGAATGGCCGGCTACTATCGTGGTTTCTGCAAAAAGTTTGCTGATGTAGTTGCACCTGTCACCAGTCTCACTGGTGTGTCAAAACCATTAGTGTGGTCATCCACATGCCAGAAACCTTTTCAGTCTGCCAAAGCTCAGAACACCAGTCTTTGCCACTCTTGATATTATGCGTCCTTTCAAACTAGAGGTGGATGCCCGCGCCAGCTGTGCAGGTGAGGTGCTGTTGCAGAAGGATGAGCAGGGTGTTGATCATCCAATCGGTTACTTTTAAAGGAAATTCAACATTCACCAGCAAAATTACAGTGCCATAGATAAAGATGCTCTTTCCCTGTTGCTTGCACTACCACATTTTGGCGCTAAAACATATATAGGTTGCAGTTCATCGTCTGTCGTTGTCTACACCGATCACAAGCCCTTTGTGTTTTTGACTAGAATACACAATTCCAACTAGAGGCTCATGAGATGGTAACTCCTAGTAAAGGATTTTAATTTGGAGATCCATCACAAAAAAGGAACTGACAATGTGACAGCAGATGTACTGTCGAGTGGTTTTCTCCACTCCTGAGTGCCAAACATCTGTAGGGGAGATGTTTGGTCTTGGGAAGGGCGGTGTTACGGCCCTTGCTACCTGTATATTTTGTGGTGTTCTATGTCTTTAAGAATCTACAGGTTCTTCTTGATTGGAGAGCTGGCGGCGGCTGATTGATCCCCTGATCATGTGGCTGTTTTTAAAAGTTGCCTGACCAGCAGTTGTCGGCGGCAGCGCCTGACGGCAGCAGACCTGACCCTGGCTTCCAAACCTTGTGTTACCCGTGTGTGGCTCCTGAGATTTACTGAGTTTTTGTATATAGTGTGTAAATTAGTTCACTTGTAAATGGACAGTGTAGACACAAATAAACCACCGTTCACTTCAAAGACTGGCTTCTAGGTATGGTTTGGGGGACCCGGGTGGGGTCACTTCCTTTCTTACCCTTATGTTATGGTCCTGTACCCCTAGACTGGGGCACAGCACACCTACAATGTCTCCAAAAAGTTGATTCTTTCCAGATTGGACAAGCTTAAAAACACACCAACATCCACCTACAATGTGTTTGTTGACATCTTGGATCCCACTAATGGAGGCAGTTTCAGTTTAGT